CTCTGCCCGAGGCGGCGACGGCTGCGGTCTCGGTTCACCCAGGAGCAGCGAGGTGCCTGCGGTGGCCCGGTTGCCTGGACCCCTCCCGTCCCTGGGGTGCGCCCCCAGACCAAGGCGACCCTCTTGGGCGCTGAGTCGGCGACTGGAGTAAGGGTTTCTCCGAAGCCAGCGAGCCGAGTCGAACCACCGGGAGAATTGAGGAGGAGGAGGAGGAAGAGGAGGAGGCGGAGGTGGAGGAGCTGGAGGAGGAGGTGCAGGAGGAGAAAAAGGAGGAGGAGCAGAGTGGGAGGAGGAGTCGCCGGCCGAGGGCCCAGCCGCGCGCAACGCTCTCCAAGCGCGCGCCGAGCCCAGCCCCGGCTCTGCAGTCCGCGCCAGCGCAAGCCTCCGCGCCTTTTCTACAGCCGCGCCTGACATCACGTCCTGCCGCCGCGCCATTGGCCGCCCGGCGCCCCAGGCCCTGGCAGCGCGTGCTCCGGGAAGGCGGGAGACCGGTTGAGGGAGGGGAAAGGCGAGAGGAGGAGAGGAGAGACGAGATGGTGGGAGCTGGTGGGCGAGGCTGGAGGGAGCGAGGGAGGGGGCGGGCAGGAGGGGGGAGGGAGGGAGAGCGCGGGGTTTGGAGTTTTTAAGCTACGAACAGTTTCCTGCGTTTTCTTCGGGAAGGAAATTAAACCCTCTCTCCCGCCGTCTCCATCCTAAGAAAGCGCAGCTAGAGGATGCTCGAAGAGGTCTCATTCCGGTCTCCCCTCGGCCCGGAGCCGCGGCCACGGGCACCGGCTGGGGAGACTCAGGAAGACAGGCCTGGGGCAGAGTTGCGAGAGCCTTCGGCCTTTTCCCGCCGAGCTCGGCCTTCGTCCCGGGCTCCACGCCCTGGGCTGCGGGCGGCCGCGCAGGCCTCCTGGGGACCTGATTGAGCCCGAGAGGCGAAGGCCGGCGGGAGATGTGACTCCCGGGGAGAGGGGCCAGCCAGCATATCCTCGCTCCAAGCGAGCTAGGGCCCAATCTACAGCCCAGCGTGTAGCTCCTTCTCTCTCTTCCGGGTCTCTCGCCAGCCTGGAAGAGTGGGGGCGAGCACGGCTTTAGGAACTCGGAAAGGCAAGGGTTCGAATCCTAGAGTTGCCATTTACATGCAGTGTAACAACCTTAAGCCAGTGACTTAACCTCCCTTAACCTGTTTCTGACCAGTTTCACTGGGACACTAGAAGGTCCCCTCTACTTGGATGTGATGAACGGAAGAGATCATGGATGTAAAATGCCTGGAACATAGTAGGCACTCAGCACATTCTTTAATCACTCCCTCTCTTCCCTCTGCTATTAAAGACTTTCTCCAAGATACATTCAGAATCAGTGAGGTTCTTCAAGACCACAGGCCCATTCTCGGCCCATTGGGCACACCATGCTACAGGCCCCACTGATATCGCTGGTTCACCCTGCGGCCCGGCTGCACCACATCTCTAAGTACCAACAACCTAGCCTGCCAGGTAAATCTCAACTGCTATTGGGGACCTGATTGAGCCCGAGAGGCGAAGGCCGGCGGGAGATGTGACTCCCGGGGAGAGGGGCCAGCCAGCATATCCTCGCTCCAAGCGAGCTAGGGCCCAATCTACAGCCCAGCGTGTAGCTCCTTCTCTCTCTTCCGGGTCTCTCGCCAGCCTGGAAGAGTGGGGGCGAGCACGGCTTTAGGAACTCGGAAAGGCAAGGGTTCGAATCCTAGAGTTGCCATTTACATGCAGTGTAACAACCTTAAGCCAGTGACTTAACCTCCCTTAACCTGTTTCTGACCAGTTTCACTGGGACACTAGAAGGTCCCCTCTACTTGGATGTGATGAACGGAAGAGATCATGGATGTAAAATGCCTGGAACATAGTAGGCACTCAGCACATTCTTTAATCACTCCCTCTCTTCCCTCTGCTATTAAAGACTTTCTCCAAGATACATTCAGAATCAGTGAGGTTCTTCAAGACCACAGGCCCATTCTCGGCCCATTGGGCACACCATGCTACAGGCCCCACTGATATCGCTGGTTCACCCTGCGGCCCGGCTGCACCACATCTCTAAGTACCAACAACCTAGCCTGCCAGGTAAATCTCAACTGCTATCCTCCAGCCTCCAGACTTCAGGCTCAACCTAGAGTCTCCTGGGGAGACAAGGGCAATACCCAGGTGTCCAGTGGAACGGGATTTAGAAAATAAAAAGTGATTGTAGAGAAAAAACTGAATGAGCAAGTCAGTTACAGAGTCCATCTCCTGGGTGTGCTCTGGAGGCAGGTTTGACTCCGTCCACCCATGGCGGGTGATATTAGTCTGAAGTGACCTACTTGCCAGGACACAGTAAGGGGAAAGCCAGAATCTCTGCAGTTTATTTTACAGGACACAGAGTTGAGGCCGCACGAAGTCATATTTTCCCCATGCATATGTAACTTTCACACATAAATATACGTGTGCTTGTAATGCCCAAGCACATGCTCTTATGTTCACGTATGCAAATACACATGTTTGTCTGTTGACAAAAACAGGACACGAATTTATCTCTGCTCGCAAAACCACAGCCAGCACTAATGTCTACACGAGCCCATCAGACATGTGTCCAGTACCCGGTAGAAGAATACATCTGTAAAGTGGTAAATTGCACGTTATATGTACACTTACTTGCGTGCTCAGACAATTTTACTTAAACCCCTGCGTGCTCTCCTATGAGGCCAAGTTTTGCGTATTTGCAAAAACTCTTGAAGTTACAAGTATGTGTGTACACGCTGCACGTGCACAGATGCTCCAACGCGGGGGAAGGACCGTAAATCCAAAGACGCGCGTGCGCGTGTGTTCACACAGGCGTGTGCTTCGGGGGCCTGCACACGGCCCGCGCCCAGGCACGCGGACTCCTACACGAATACACAGGCATGTTTTACTGATGCATCTGGGGCACTTTCTTTGAAAGAAAGTAGGGAATGAAAATCTAATCTGGGAGTCACCAGGGTTCATCTGGAGGTCGCCCAAGGGGTAGAAAAAAATTGTAACAACGCTGGAGTGTTCGTCCTTGGTGTAGTTCCACTCGCGGGCTAACTGGATACAATACGTTTTCAAGAGCTCGAGGGGGCTGTCTTAGGAGCTGGGGGAAGAGGGGGTAGGTACTCAGTAACTCTTGCCGCAGGCTTCTCAAGAAACGTGGAAACACACCCTGCGGCTGTTCACTCTCCCCATACATTTATGCACAGGATTCCATCGCCACCTCTCTGACCAGCAGCCCACATCCATCGCTGGACCGACCCCCGATTCCCCGGCAGTCAGGATTCCCGCACGGTGCGCTCGTCTCTTTTCGCCTCTGCGTCAGGCTGGGACGCGCTCGGGTCCAGAAGGGGCTCAAGAGCAGCTCCCGCCGCGGGGCGGGATCTGGACTCCCAGGTCTCCGGGTTCAGAGGCCCGTAACTTGGCTAATCTCCCCCAGCGGCGGGGGGACGTCGCGCAACTGCTGAGCCCTGTCCGCGGAGACTGAACAAGGAGAGGAACCGGCTGTAAACACACATCCCCTGACACGTGAGTGATATTTACACGGAGCGAGCAGCCGAGCGCAAGGCAGGGGGTGGGGGGAGCGGGCACAGACAGGTAAGCGGAACAATTGCAGGCGCCGGAAAAGGCGATCCCTCGAACCCCTTCCCCCCATGGGGAAAAGGATCCCCAAGTGCACCGAACCTGCCTTTTGTGGGAGGTGACAGGTGAACGGAATTCAGGTCTGGACACTCTAGCCGCTGCCTACCTCCCCACCATCTGCTTCCTCGCAGACAAGCAGACCCAGCGCATAATGAGGTAGCAGCCTCCAGCCGGCCACCGTGACTAACTCAGAACAAAAGCGCTCCCTCCACGCCTCCTCCAACAAAGGGGCCACCAGCCCCAGCGCTCCCCGAAGGCTGCGGGGCTCCCGGCTGCCGGCTGCGGAGCTGCCGCGCGCAAACTTCCCGGGGCTCCCGGGGCTGCCGGCGCCACCGAGCCGGGGCCGCAGAGGGAGGAAGCTCATGCCGCCCGGAGAAAGTGAGGCCAGGCGGGGTGGGGGGAGAAGGGGAGGGCGCGGGAGAGCCGCGGAAGGAGGGTGATTGATCAGTGCGCGGTTCCCGGCGTTCTGTCCCGTTATTAGAGGCGGCCAAAGCAGGGCCACGCAATAACCTCCGAATCGCCAACTAATTGACGCTGCAGGCAACTACCTCATTGTGCGCGCTGGTTTTATGTCTTCATA